GAGTGAACCAGCGGATGCAGTACTTCTCTCTCTCTGCCTCTCCTTGTCTATTTAACTCCGACTTTCAAATAAATAAATGAATCTTAAAAAAAAAATACTCAGTATCATTTTTTGGTTGATATTTTACCCACTGATATTTTAGATAACTTTAATAATTTTAATAAGATGTCTATAAAATTTTAAAACAATACATACTGTATTTGAACTAGTTCATGAAGAGTAAGGGGGAAAGCTAGCTTATTGAGACTGTAGAAGTTCCATTAGTTAAATTTCAAAATTTTTAATAAAGGACCTTTCAGAGATACATTGAAACCTGGTGGTATTGACTAAACTAGCTTCTGGGACATTGAAAAGAATCCTGAAAGTAGTGGAGGACCTGTGAGGGCATTTACTTGCCATGGTTATGGTTGTAGTATGCTTCTATGTAAATACAGGTAGTGACACACTGACATTTTTGTTGTCCAATAATCTGGAGTACAGTCCTGCATTTATCTGTACTAAAATAACTATAAATTAATGGAATCTACAAAGAAGAAACTTTATGACTGTACTGTATTTGGGAGCCTTTGTACAGCTAGGTAAAGTTTCCACAATACAAAATATTTGGATTTTAAAATTTACTATTATAAGGGAGAAGACATGGCATTATTCCATGTGCTTAAATGATAACTTGCTTATTGAGTTTAAGAAAAAAAAGTGGAATGAGTAATTGTCACTGCACTAGTTGTAATATTAAATTGGCAAGTTGTAGCATAAAGCTTAAATCTGTGTTTCTCAAACGTGAACCATAGTAATCTAATGCTGCTTTTGTATACTGTAGCTGCTACAAATAGTCTCAGCACTGGACATGTATATTTCTCAAATGAATGCAACCTTTGATGTAGGTGTTTTGATATGCCTCAGAAAGTATCTGAGCGTCTGCGAATTTATTAATCTGGTAATGAAGATACTTCCTGTTCTTTTGTTGTTGTTCCATATTTTCATGTTTGAATTTTAACATTTTTATTACTATTAATTTAAATACAATTTGTTCAATGGTTAAAATGGGGTTGTCAATGAGGAGACTTAAAAACAACCTCATTCATGTAACTGCTTAAGTAAAAACTATATTTTGTGTTCTATGTTCATACATGATGATCATACATTAATGATCTGGATCTCTGTTTAAATATAATTGATGTTGCTTAAAAAATAAAATGCATATAAAAAAGAAAGAAATACCAATACTATTGCAACATGGACATCCAGTTAAATGGAACTGTTTTTACAAAAATAGGAATTTTTTGGTTAATATTTTACCCATGTGCCCTCTGATCATATTTTCTCAAGGTCCTCTCCCAGTCATAATTCAGTTCTCTTCTTCAGGGCCTAACTCAAAGAGTCTAAAACTGAGGTATATGTACTAACTTCTAAGAAGAAAGTCTAGTCTAAAATCTTTTACTGACATGTAAGTCATGCAATAAAAGTCAAATTCCTCTGGGTCCTTAAGTCTTACCAACAAAAAAACTGAACACAAATCATCTAGCATGAAAAGAAATAGCCAAGTTTCCACATTCAGTAATAATCTAAGAAAATTCTTGTGGGAAGACAGAAGGAACAGCATAAGATAGGCACAATGTCCAACACTGTTCAACCCTTACAACAGAAGCTACATTGAGCAAAACACAAATTGATTCCAATGGGGAAGAATCTCTCCTTGCTTTGGACTTGCTATAGGGCAAGCAAACTTGAGGTATAAAAATCCCCAGATGACTAAATAACCAACCCAACTAGTCAAATTCCAAATAGAGATGAAAAAACAAGTGAAAATGCTTTAAAATTTTAGAAATGCTTCATCTCTTTATACGCATGCATGTGGATATTACATATCCACAATGTTAAAAAAAGAAAACCTTAAAAAAACACTTTACAGCAACCTTCCTGACCTACAGGAATCAAAAAATGCCATCACAGTCCCAGACTATGGTTCTTCAATATCTTCCTTAATCCCAACAGTTGTTTTTAAAGTTTTCTTTACTTCTTACATGTGACCAAAGTAATTTTCTACTTGTTGTAATCTAAAATATATTTTAAAATCTTTAAAGAAGTGACTAGTACTAACTCACAAAGAGAATACTCTTAGAAGCAAACACTTCATTTTCCACAACATAAATAAATGGCTCCACATGGAAACAGCAATCAAAGCCAATGCTGACAGTTTTATGTAAGGTCTTAACTAATAAACACAAGATTACTGCAATATGGCCAAGTCTGGCTCAAAGCTTCTAAGATGATAATTTTGGAAGATAAGCTGACAACCTAGGATAGGGCACTGACAACGGGGGAGGCAGGGAATTGTTGGGAGAAGAGTGACAACATGTACTTAAGAGTATAAAGCATTAGTTAGTTGATGGCATAATTCTACAGGGTTTATATTTATTCTGCAAGTGATGGAGGACAATGAAGGGAACAGGTAGAGAAAGAAAAACAGTGCAGGTAAGTTAACAAGTGAGACCACAGACAGAGAATCCAGTAAACAGAACGGACTTATGGTACATTAATATGAAAGACTATTAATCTGTAATTTAAAATACAAACTAATGATATATTTACAAGATGGATAAAACCCAAAACATTACACTGAATAAAAGAAACAATATACAAAAAAGTACATACTACATACATTTATGTATATGAAGTCCAAGTTCAGAGAAAACTAAACTATATTGATAGAATTCAGAAAAATGCTTACCTCAGGGGAAAGGTTATTGAATAGGACAGGAGAAGAACACAAAGAGCTTTCTAGAATAATAAAATATTCTCTATCTTGATGGTGGTTTCATGTGTGAGCACACATGTAAAAAGTCATTCAGCCTTATAGTTTAAAATGCATATGCTATAATAAATTATACCATAAAACAGAAAAAGTTTATATAATTTTGATAGAATATGGCCAAAGTAAACCAGCTTTATTTCATAAGCAATATCACACTTTGAAATCAGAACAAAGGATCTAATAGACATTACACATTTAACTAACAAATAAAATCCTTATAAGATCTAAAAGTACAAAAGTTGGGTCAGCGCCGTGGCTTACTTGGTTAATCCTCCACCTGCGGTGTCGGCATCCCATATGGGCGCCGGGTTCTAGTCCCGGTTGCTCCTCTTCCAGTCCAGCTCTCTGCTGTGGCCCGGGAAGGCAGTGGAGGATGGCCCAAGTGCTTGGGCCCTGCAACCACATGGGAGACCAGGAGGAAGCACCTGGCTCCTGGCTTTGGATCGGCGTAGCTCCGGTCATGGGGGCCATTTGGGCAGTGAACCACCGGAAGGAAGGCCTTTCTCTCTGTTTCTCTCTCTGTCTAACTCTGTCAAATAAATAAATTTTTTAAAAAAGTACAAAAGTTTGTTTTATTTCCCATTTCAAGAAGATACAAGTGTACTTAATAAGGATCATGGAAAATAGAATTAAAATATAAATTTATTTTGGTGCAAATTCGGAAATCCATGTACTTTCATATAAGCAATTATACTGGTAGAAGCAAGTATTTGCTATAATAAAAATAAAACTAAAATATTCTAAAAAAATAAATAATATCCTTCCTAAAGAAAAATGGCTTACTATTAATCAAAATATAAAAATCTTATGTATGGCAAACCCTTCACATAGCGGGTACTATGATTAATAAGGCATGAAAACTACGTAAAAGAATTGACAGCATATTATAATCTCTTCAAACTACCACTGTCATTACTATTACACAATAGCAATAAAATAGCCTCAAGGTACACCTAAACCAACAACTGAGATTATATTATTTAACTGCACATTACTCAATTACGGCACTTCCCATCCTAAACTTTTTTAAAATAAATATTGATATTAGTAAATTTTTTTTAAACTTTTTGACAGGCAGAGTTAGAAGACAGAGAAAGGTCTTCCTTTTCTGTTGGTTCACTCCCTAGATGGCCACCACGGCCAGCGCGCTGCACCGATCCAAAGCCAGCAGCCAGGCACTTCGTCCTGGTCTCCCATGGGGGTGCAGGGCCCAAGCACTTGGGCCATCTTCCACTGCCCTCCTGGGCCACAGCAGAGAGCTGGACTGGAAGAGGAGCAACCGGGACAGAATCCGGCGCCCCAACCGGGACTAGAACCCAGGGTGCCGGCGCTGCAGGCAGAGGATTGCCAAGTGAGCCACAGCGCTGGCTGAGATTAGTAAATTTTTGACAACCGAAACATATGGTTAGTTTACATACAGAAAGATCAAGTTAATTAAAATTCTGTCAGGGTATTCTTTTTACTATGTTTATAACCCGAAGGCATGTTCACTTACCAATAGATAATAAATGTATTTTGTTAACATTTCAACAGTTTATGCTATTGAAAAGCTTTCTTTCACACAGCAGGCCAAAAGTAAATGAGCACAATTTAATTTTTGAAAGTCCGCAGTCTTAGAAAGCTAATCAGAATGAAATATTAGGAAAGTTACTCAGTAAAGACATCCACAAGAAAAATATTAAATAGTAATTTACAATTCTAAACACTATGTAACAGAAAAAAGTCACAATTTGGCAAATCTAACCAACCTGTAGAAGTACTTCATTAACAGAAATAACAGTAAAATTCACAAAAGCAAAGACTACTCATATACTATGTCAGCTAAAGAAGAGACTAATGGAGCAACCTAACATCTCTTACTGAGCTGATGAACAATTTAATATGTGGTTAAACTAAATATCAACTTAATTTTCTAACACATTGGAACAATCATTGGAAACTTACATGCTTTAGGTAACCTCAACACAAAAGGAACACTAACAATTTAGTTCCATAATTTGAAAGTTGTATTTTTACTCCTATCAAATCAACTGGACCAAGAGTGTCAAAAAGCCAATTCTTGGTACTTCAAAATATTATTAAAAACTCTTTGATCCTCGACTTGAAAGTGTATTTTTAAAACACAAACGTTTTGTACTATTCTTACCTTGAAATGCAACATTAAACAAAACAGTCTCCTACTTACCTAGTTTTTGTCTTATTAACATCTCGCTGCAAGAACAATCTCATTCGAAATTAAATCAAACCTGAAAGAATATATGTAAAGAAAACATTGCTTAGTTTTTTGCTTCAAGCTATGAATGACATCTGTGACACACTATTATTTTAAATTAAAAGAGCGAATCAAATCAATTTTTTTTTCTCAGTATAACATGTTTTAAAAAGTGCCCCAAGTAAAACATGATGACTTTAACCCTCAGGAAACTACTGCTTGGGACTTTTCTTTGAGGAACAATAATCTACTTGAATGAAAAACTTTCTAGTTCTCAAAAAACTCCTGAAAGTACTATTTTTTTTTCATTTAATAGTACACCAATGACAATAGTTACAAATCAGTACATAGTTGTCCCCTCAGTGGGGCACTGGTTGCAGAAACACCATGGATATGCAAATCTGTAAATGTTCAAGTCCCTTAATATAAAATGTAGTATTTGCACATAGCCTATACACATTCTTCCATATAAAGCATTTCCAAATTACTTACAATATTTAATACAATATTAATGCTTTGTAAATAAGCATTACAGTTTTGTTAGGAAATAATGACAGTAAGAAAAATCTGTACATGTTCAGTTTAGACACAATTTTTGTCCAAAATGTTTTGAATCTATAGATGAAAATCCAAGGATATGGAGAGCCAATTATAATAAAACACACTTCTTTCCAGGTTAGTTTAATTATTATGTACATACCAGTAAACTTAAGACCATAAAACAACATACAATAATAACATGGAAGTAAATACTAAAAGTAATTATAATAATAGGTAACACTGATTAGGTACTTAAAAAAAGGTCAAACACTATTATTCCAGGCAATAACATGTTATTGATACTCTACTGCTTCCTCAATTTAATTCTAAATCTAGCATAAAATGACTTCTGACCCAACATATTGAAAGTACACTTGCCATAAATTTGCCTACTAATTTTACATTTCACAAATTCTGAAAACTCAGTCCCACCCTAAACACACGTCTTTTCCTTCCTTGTTGTTCTGAATTCTCTCCAAACATGGCACCACCTGCTTACTTCCATTCTAAGCCTAGATTGTTTTAAGTAGTGTTTTACTCCCAAACTCACTATCACCTCAAATTTCCCAAACTCAGTATCATCTCAAACTTGTCTTTCCTAGAAATATGAATAATCCTTTTATATTGTCTATCCTGAACATGTCGTCTCTGGGCTTCAAATTCAATAGTAATAATCAATAATCCCAGCTTTAGCTACCTTCAAGCACAGTATGTTTCTATCATACTACATCTCTTCAATTCTCAAAATGGTCCTATGATCTCTGAGCAGTCATGCCTTTTCACATGATGAATTCTAACTATCTACTGGAACTACTTCCTGTTTCTAACTTTGCCACCACCTTTTTACTTTTAATATTTAGCTCAGCAACCCTGGCAGATCACTCAAATTTCTTCAGCATGTACAGTTAGATCTCAAAAGCAAGTGATCAAAGTTCTATATCAACCCTGTTTACTTGTGTATTTCCTGAACTACACCATAGTGTGAACACAGTGAGAACAGGGCTTCATTTATTTCATCAATTTCATTACCTGGCACATAGCTAAAATATAATATGTTTGATAATTTTTTCTACTGCATCCCAAAATGTACTTAGAATATAAAATACAAGTTAAAACTCAGGCTAATGAGTTTAACTCACATTTTCAAGGACTAGAGGGAAAAAATATGATCACTCTGCATATGCTACTATTACTTCATGGAATAACTTCATCTAAGTGAAAGTGAGAAGGGGCAGGCAGCCATTTGGTCTAGCAGTTAAGAAGCAACTTGGGGGGCCGGTGCTGCAGCACAGGGGGTTAAAGCCCCAACCTGCAACACCAGCATCCCACATGGGCACAGGTTCGAGTCCTGGCTGCTCCACTTCCAATTCAGCTCTCTGCTATGGCCTGGGGATGCAGTAGAAGATGGCCCAAGTCCTTAGGCCCCTGCGCCCCCATGGGAGACCCAGAAGATGCTCCTGCATCCTGACTTTGGATCGGCAAAGCTCCAGTCTTTGCGGGCAAATGGGGAGTGACCAGCAAAATGGAAGATTTCACTCGCTCTCTCTGGCTCTACCTCTCTAACTCTTTCAAATAAATAAAATAATTCTTAAAAAAAAAAAAAAAAATAAGCCACTTGGACTGCATCCCACATAGGAGTGCCTGCTTTGAGTCCTTGCTGCATTCATGATTCCAGCATCCTGCTAATGCACACCTTGGGAGGGAGCTGGGAATGGCTCAAGTAGTTGTGTCCCTATCATCCATGTGGCAAACCCAAACTGAGTTCCTGATTCCTAGCTTCAGCCTGTCCCTAGTCAGCCCTGGCTAGTGTGGGCACTTGGATGGTAAACCAGCAGAGGGGAAATCATTTCTCTGTTTCTCTCTGCCTTTCAAATAAATAAAAAAGCTTAAAACAAACTGATTAAAAGCCTCATATAATCTTTTATTGCATGTTTTAATTAATTTCACTGATTAAGCAGTATCAACATTTTGGTACTAAATGTTTCTATCCCTACAGAAAACAATGTTTGTGTGTCTGAAACATTAGGCTAATTTAAGTATTCAGCTTAAAGAGAAAAGGATTGGAAAGCAAATACAGTGTTAGTACTACTCATGTCAATAATTTGGACAAGTAGTTCTGAAACTTTAATGTGCAGCAGAATCACCTGGAAGGCTTATTAAGCACAAACTGCTATGTCCTTCCTCCAGAGTTTCTAATTTAGTGGGTGCAGGTGGGAGCCTAAGAATTTGCATGCTGATGTTGTTTTGGGGACCAAACACAGAGATCTATAAACCCAAAAGGGTCTAAAGTGCCTAGAAAAGAGGAAAATACTCTCTCTACCCTCAATGCCCTCAACTCCCACCCACCAGTAACTGGACATTAGGACCTCTTACAAACTAATGTATAATTCAAAGTGAGAGCCAAAGTCTACCATAAATTATTGAGAATAACGGGCTAAAAAATGGCCCCACAAAAGATATTTACACTGTAATCTCTAGAACCTATGACTGTTATCCTGTCTGGGGTTGGGGTGGGGGAGGTGAGGAGAAAAGGTCTTTGAAGATATTAAGGATCACAGATTATCTAGATGAACCCTAAATGCAATCTCACGTATACTTGTTAACGGTGTGGGGAATATGCGACTACATACAGAGAAGGTAATGAGAAGATAGAGCAGAAAGTTTTTTTTTTGTTGTTGTTGTTTTTTTTTTGACAGGCAGAGTGGACAGTGAGAGAGAGAGACAGAGAGAAAGGTCTTCCTTTGCCGTTGGTTCACCCTCCAATGGCCGCCGCGGCCGGCGCGCTGCGGCCGGCGCACCGCGCTGATCCGATGGCAGGAGCCAGGAGCCAGGTGCTTTTCCTGGTCTCCCATGGGGTGCAGGGCCCAAGCACCTGGGCCATCCTCCACTGCACTCCCTGGCCACAGCAGAGGGCTGGCCTGGAAGAGGGGCAACCGGGACAGAATCCGGCGCCCCGACCGGGACTAGAACCCGGTGTGCCGGCGCAGCTAGGCGGAGGATTAGCCTAGTGAGCCGCGGCGCCGGCCCAAGCAGAAAGATTTTTAAATGCTGGCATTCAAGAATGGAGGACCTTTCTCTCTGTCTCTCTCACTATCCACTCTGTCAAAAAAGAATGGAGGCATGTATCCACAACCAAGAATGCCAGCAGCTACCAGTGTCAGGAAGTAGCAAGGAATGGATTCTCCTCCAGAGCCTCCAGGGACAGAACAGCCCTGTCAACACCTTTATTTTGGGCCAGAAATACTGATTTCAGACTTCAGGCCTCCAGAATAGAGAATAAATTTGTTGTTTTAAGCCGCCCAGTTTGTGGAAATCCGTTACAGCAACTGCAGGAGCCTAATGTACTGTAGATGACAGGTTCTCAAGGAAATAAATTAGAAGCACTGCTACATAAAGGATGTGAAAGACTGATTTGCACCTCATCCCAACTCCAAAAAAATCATACTGAAACCCTAACCCTCAATATGTCTATACTTGGAGACAGGGCCATTCAGGAGGTAATAAAGTTAGATGAGGCCATAAGGATGGGCTCCTAATCCAGTTTGACTGGTGTTCTAATAAAAAGAGACACATTAAGCATAAACATAGAGGAAAGACCATCTGTAAGGACACAGACCCCAGGAGAAACCAAATCTACTAACATCTTGATATTAACCCTCCAGTCTTCAGAACTGTGAGAAAACAAATTTCTATTCTTTAAGCCACCAGTATGTGTGTATTTTGTTGTGGCAGCTCTTAGACTACTACATATACAAGGATATATAATAAACATGGTTGCCTAAAAACATAAACGTACTTAATGCCATGGAATTGTATGCTTACCAGCAGTTAAAATGATAAATGTTGTAATGTACATTTTAACACAATTAAAAAATGAAAGCAAACACTATACACACGTATCAATTTTAGCTATTTTCCTTTTTTTCTTACTCTGTTCAGTTATATCACAAAAACCTTCAGAAAACTCCTAATTTGTATTTGCTGCCACAAAAACCAAACCAGCAAATTTTTTAAAAATTGATTTAATTGAATGGTGGAGTAACAGGGGTGAGGGGATGCAGGTAGAGGGTTGGATTCATCTGTTAGCTCACGCCCCAAATGGTTGCAAGAGTGAGGTCTAGACCAGACAGGAATCATGAGCCAGGAACTCCATCCAGATATCCCACATGAGTGGCAGGGTCCCAAATACATGGGCCATCATCTCCTACCTTCCCAGACACATTATCAGGAAGCTGCACTGGAAGCAGAGTAGCCAGTACTCAAACCAGCACTCTAGTTGGGATGCTGGCAACAAAAGCAGCATCTTAACTCAATGTGCCAAAACACTGGCCTCAAACCAGTACCAATGTCAGAAGACACATTTCTGAAACTTTTATTTAAGATTTTATTTTTAGTTTGACAAACAATAACTGTATGTATCATATCTTTATGGGATACCATGTAATATTTTGATATGTGTTTACTTTGTGCTATGACTGAAACACAAATTACCTT